TGAAACCTTTATATTCATTGCGGAAAAAAGTGACTCCGCCTTCATGGCTGACTCTGCCCGGCAACTAATGATGCTGCCTCCATGGCTGACTCTGCCCAGCAACTAGTGATGGTGTCTCTAGCCCTCTCCCCCAGCCAATAGGAGCTGCAGGGGGCGGTGCCTGCAGAAGACATTGCCAGCAGCATGGCTGCATGCGTCTCTCCTCCGCGGGCTACAGTGGGGAGTTTCTCGGTCCGCGGACGGCTGGGACTTTGAGACCCCTGATTCAAGCCAAAGAGATATCCTTCAAAAAGCAGAATTCCACTCCTACTGGAGCCAAGAGAAAGGAACATAATCTTCAGTAGATAAATGTAAACTGGAAATTAGGAGGGCTAAAAGGACATTTGAAGAGCAAATAGCCAATGACATAAAACCAAATTTGTAATTCTTTAAGTTTATTAGATCTGCAAGAGAACTGGAGACTCCACTGGGCTACCAGGGAGTAAATGGAGAAATAAGGGAGGGTAAGGATATTGTAAAGAAACTAAGTGATTTCTTTGCATTCATCTTCACTACAAAGGATCTTGGGGACATATCTTCTACCCCAGTCCTGCCCTTATCAAGTAATCAAGTTGAGTTTACTGTCAAAGATTGGAGTGTCATAAGAGGAGGTGTTGGAACAAACTGTTAATACATTAAAGAGCAATAAATCACCAGGACCAGATGGTTACACCTCAGAGTTCTGAAGACTCCTAAGAAAGAAGTGGCTTGCTTGCTAGCAAAAATATGCACTCTGTGTCTGGAGTCAGAAGTCACTGGGGTCAACAGCTTTGTAGAAATAAAACAGGATTAGACATTTACGTGTATAGTGAGCATGTACATTTACATAAAATGGGACTAAAAATATGAGGGACCTATACACTCCTGCTTCAGGGCATAAGAGTCAATCTCTAATTAATAGGATTAGAAAGAACCTTCCCGTATGGAATAAGCTACCCGTGTTTGTCAGCTAAGAGATTTGAAAGAAAGTTCTCCTAAGAAATAAACTACTCACATTTTTCCACTAGAGGGTTTTTTGCATCTTCTTCTGAAGCAGCTGCTTCTGGCCAGTGTTGGTGACAGGATAGGGAACCAGACAGATCTCTAGTCTGATCGGGTATTTCCTATATTTGTAAATTCCTATGAGAATGTGCTACTGTGGAAGACGGTGACTCAGACGTCATTCTTTTGAATGTGAGGCAATGAGGTGTATAAGGGATTTGCCGTGTCTCCTCCCTGAAGGTGTGTCAGTGAGAAATGGGGGCTCTGAGGAGATCCCAGCTGAGTATGAGGTGGGGTTTATACCTCAAAGGCAATTGGAGTGCATAAGAATATTGGGGTAGGAGTGGGGAACTTGCTGTTTTCCCCTTCAAAGTGTGAAGTGGAGCTAAACTGAGCGTGGAGCCATGTTGGAAACAGAGTTTGTTCTTTGAATGGATATTTCTCCTTTCGTAGTTTTCCTGCTGAGAAGAGGCATCCAAGGAATGACATGATTGAAATGGAGTTGGGACTGGTTGGGATCTTGTGACATTACTCACTTTTGTGTGAATTTAATTGCATTGTTAGGGTCCCCCACAGATGTGATCTTCTTGTTACTGTGGTTTAAATTTGGTATGGCAGAATATAAAACTCCCCTATTCTCCTCTAAGCCGTGTGTATAGGTCTCTCCCCTTCCTCTTAAATGTAGCAGAGGCCCCTAAATGTGCTATAAATCACTTCTCATATGATGCTGTTAGTACATACTCTTCTTCTTACAAAAGACAGCAAGAAACACAGGGATCCTGTTCAGCATTTTCGCATGCGGAAAAAGTGAGGCTGGTGCTTTCACTGAGTCCCTGTGACCAAACAAAGTGTTGACATGATCGTTAGAGTTGGTACTGTTGGGCTAGAGATGTTTTCTCTTCCCAACTTCTGAATGTATGATAGCAACTGCTGACCCTGGCAGAAGGGAAAGGAAATGACGTATCTATACGTCACATCCGTCATCATCGCAGCCATAATGGCGGCCTTTTTCTTAATCGTGGTGCGAATCATTGTCCTGTACGATCTTCCAGTGCTGTCTGCCCCAAACAAAGGTAAGAGCCAAACCAGGGACTAAACTCAGTCTTCTCTGGTGCAGCTGCTGCTGCCGGACACTAGTTGTGGGTTTGGCGGGAGACATTTTTGCTTATTATTATGCGCCATGCAGGTTTCCGGGGTGGCTGAGGAGATGGTACCTTCATGGCGCATGTCGAAAGCTCAGATTCTTCTTCCGGAAGAGAGAAGAAGAGATGAGCGTTTGAATTTTCCTGCGAGGTGGCTTGGGGTAGGGGAGGCGCGGCTAAGCCTGGCCTGGGCTCCAGCCAGCCCGGTGCTCCTTCAGGCAGGTTTATGGCAGGGGGGCTCAGGGCTCTGGCACGCCTGGGGTCAGGTTGGGAGAGGCCTCAGGGTTCCAGCTAGCCCAGGGTTCCTCTGGCCACAGGGCAGGGGGAAGTTGGGGCTCCTCTGGGTGGGGGGCAGGCTCGTGGCTCTGGCTGCAGGAGGGACAGGGGGTCTTGAGGCTCCAGGGGGGGTGCATGAGCAGAAGGGGCCCATGGCTTTGATCAAGTTGACTTGGTAAAAATAATAATGTAGGCAAAATGGTATGAGGGCTGACATGGGATAGCTGCCTGAGTACTTACCCGGGGGAGTCGGGCAGGATTGTACCTGAGTGGCTAACCTGTGCCGCCACCACTATACTGCTATGTTTAGCAATCAACGGTAGCTCAGATATGTTTACACAAGCTGTAATCACACCTCCCTATGTAGAATAGCTGGAGGGGTAAGAGACTATCTTCATCCCTCCTTTTTAATACCTCATGCACATATAATGCCAACGTGCAGTGACCCTAGTTTCTTTCCCCTGCTCTCCCCTTTAATATTAATATTTATTAACTTTTCACGAGGTAGTACCTTTGCACAGATCTTCTCGTTAAATGGCGTGGGGGTGGGGTTGTAGCAATTCTGTCTGTTTTGAACTGTTCTCCATTTGCCTGTTGGGCTGAAACAGTTTATTTAAATGTTTATTTCTTGGACAAGGAGGGGAGGGGAGGCATTTATTTAATTATGTATGAATATGAGAGAGCCATAGAAGATGTTTCTCTTCCTCATGCTCCAGGAAATTTGGCTATTCCCCCGACCCAGGTGGGGTGCAGTGGGGGACACTCACCCACATGGGAATGAGAGATCCATGTAAGAGGGATAGGATTTTCAGTGTTGGTTGGGTTCAGGGTGTACACCCATGGGCTCAGAGACAACCTGCACCTGCCGATGTATTGGTTAAACAGAAAATTTAGGCAAAAATACTAAAACAAAGTAGTTCCTCTGCCCAACATGAGGCATAGTTTGGGAGGCTTTTCCATCACCTCAGCCCCTCCAGATCATCCCCTTGATCCAGGGACTCCCACAGAAGCCATTTTACTCCCTGCAGTTCTCCCTTTCCAAGCCATCTGCCTGGAAGTCATCTAATAGCCAGGTTCTTTCCCCTGCTCCAGAGCCTACCTGCTCCCCACAGTTCTCTAGTTCAGTTTAACTCATACTGGCCTTTACAAGGATTCATTGTCCTTCAGGTTATTACCTGAGCCCTAGCTCCACAGCCTGAGAAGGGAGATAACTGATCAGTCACAATTGGGGCTGGGCCCATCTCCCCGTGAGACAGAGGTGTTGACTTATGGGGTAAGAGGCTTTCAGACTCAAAGGAGAATCTAGAGCATCTGCACCTTATTGTATATGCAGTCACCTTTGCCCAAGTGGCAGAGGGAGGGAGCATCAGCTAAGTGACTTGGGGGTGAGACCCATTAGGGTGGGACCGCAATTGCTGGTGGGATTCAGGAGGCTGGGGAGGGGGAACATGGTAGTAGGGACTCACCCCCATGGAGGTGCGCTTGCCCCTGTGAATAGGTCAGGGTTAGGACATGCCTGTGGAGGTGAGATATCCAGAAGTAAAGAGAGAAGATTGGCAGGAGGGGTTATTTGCTGTAGCAAGCCTAGGGTAAATGTTTGGGAGTGAGCTTTCTGAGGGGATGCTCAGAATGTATGATGTGACCTGGGTAGTTATTAATTTTTAGATGGCCTTTGTAACACTGCAGGGTCAGTAAGGATGCAGTTTTAAATTCATCACGAGGAAGGGGTGGGAATCAAGGAAGCAAGGTATCTTTAATTTTTGCATCTAATCTGTTTTCCCCTGCTGTAAGTATCCTGGGTGGGATGGGGTTAAGATGGGCTTGTCTTAACATACTGATCACCCCCACAGCGATGCAGAGGCCCTGCATGGGTCAATCAGGTTTCTCACTGAGATGGCACTGGAATTAGAGGCCAATGGTTCTTGATGATTCCAACATCCACTCTCAAACACAGTCCCCGCACACCCTTCCCACAGTGCAGCAGCCAGCACAGGCCTGACTTTCAGAAGTGATGAGTATCCAACAGCTCCAACTGAGGTCAATTGAAAGGAGGAGAGATCAGCGCCTCAAAGTCAGGCCACTAGGTTCGGTACCTAACATGGAATTCATGGATTTAATGTATTCTAGAACCTAGAGCTTTATAAAACTAATTATTTGGGTCTCCATCTGCCCTGTGCCAGCTTCACAGTGTCCTCCAAACTAAATTTCGCTTTTCTTTTTCTTTTTAAACAGGCTGTGAAGTTTGTTCTAATTATACTGACTTGCTGGTGACAGAAAGATCCTCTGGGCATGTCCCCCTCAACATCTCCAAAGTGTCTTTCAATGTGGAAAAATGGAACACGTCCACTTCTCGATGGGATGAAGTAATCATCTCTGTTACTGGGAATTCAAAGTCTCTCAACAGCCCCATCAGAGAGCAGGTCTCTGTGTGTGGGGGATATTTCAATCTGAAAAATGTGAGCAAAGCAGCTGGGGGATATTATAAGGTGATACTGGTGCTGTCTGGAAAGTGTGTGGCCTGTATACATCTGAGAGTGCTGGGTAAGTTCTGTTTCTGATGTTCCTGGAGATGCACTGTCTCTACCCCCAGGAGTCTTGGTGACTCCAATTTAGGATCACTCACTGACTCTACTCATGGGTGTAGATGCAGAATATGCTATATAAATATGACTTCCTAATAGAAACACTTCTTATGGTAGCTGGCAGATTTTTGTTCTTCTCTTATCTTTACATATAAGTCACAGCCCATGCCCCAGAGAGCTTACTGGAAGTTCTGATGGGTCAGTGAGTGAACAAATTGCCAGTTGCACTCTTGCCTCTGACCCTCCTACTCATCCCACAAACATGACATTTCTGTGCTATGTACCCACTTTGAACCAAGAAGGAACAAGGCACTGTCCATCTGGCATTCCCAGTTGTGTGCAGTGACCAATATCTTGCACAGAAGGGAACACATTTTCAATGATGGTGTCAGGAGTGGTTCCCTAGGCCCGAAGCAGAGCCAGACACCACAGAATTGCAGAGTTGGGATGGACCTTGTGATTGCATGTTGAACCTTCACTAAATTTCCTTTCCTCATTCTCTTATTCCAGAGCCCACCTTATCCCCACCTCCTATAGCACAAACCCACAGAGTGAGTGAGGAACCTACCAATAAGAGTGGAAAGGAGGGTAAGTGAAAAGGAAGACAATCTTTTCCTAGAAATGGGCACAAGCACCCAAGGCAACTTCAGGAATCTCCATAACTTGTGCTGAGGCCCAAAGTGAAGAAAGCAGGGTTATGCCTGCCTGTCAGCTCTTTTCTTGTCAAGGGCAGTCAGTTGTTCCTATGTGCCAAGCTTCATCTTCTGAAATCTTTTCACTCCTCTGATGTCATCACTTCACTATATCTCCTCTCACAATAGAATCTTCCTGAATTTCTAATGTTAAAAGAACCCCAAGCCAATCACCTCTTTTTTTTGTTTTGTATTGTTTTCCTCCCTGTAAAACCATTTCATAAAGATGCAGAAAAGGACACAAGCCCAATCCCCCATCCGACTTTTCTAGTGACATTTAAGTATGTTGGGATCCTATGGGCTTGAAGGTGTTAGAAAAATGTAAGTTATTTTTAATATACCAGACTCTCTCTTTTTTCTAATTACAGGATTGAAGGCTTGGAAATGGACCATTCCTGTTGGGCTCTTCGCTATGGTGCTGATGATGTTCTGATAACAGAGGTTCATTATCTTTAGAGCAGGGCAAAATTATGGCTACCAATAAAGATCTGTGTGTGCCATGAGCCTGAAGTCTCTTGCATTGAACTATTCCAAGTTTAGGAAAGGAGAAAGTTTTAATAGTTTAAATCAAATCTAATTTCAATCAAACGTTGTCATTTAATAAACCTCTATTCTTACGCTTGAAACGTAAAACAGGATATGCTAAATTATTTTAGAGGCTGGCCCTCAGTTTACTTGGAATAAAATGCCAGAGCTGAGTTATGATTACTTCTTTTATGATATTGGCCAAAGACCACAATTGGGTTTGAGGCTCCATTGCTGCTGAATGCTATGGGGCGACCCAGTCCCTTTCCTAGAGAACTTACAATGTAAAAAACAAAAACAGATGAAACATACAAAGAAAGGGCCAGATTCTGTCTGGCTCTTCATAGCAGGAGAGGCCAGAGTAAATGCCTTTTCCCTACCTCATAAGTGTGGCCTGCCTAAGGGTCAGAGAGATCCCGTGTTCAACACAGCAATTGCTCCCTCCCTGTTCCCTGGGCAGCTGGCTGGAATATGCTCCATTCCATGAAGGGCTATAGCAGTGTGCATGGCATTCCTGCGAACTCCAAGAAGCAGAAATTCCTGCTAGTGCTTTTTTAGGGGCTGTGTAGCTCCACCCCGCTCCTTGCTACCGGATTCTGCCTAAATGGGACAATTGAGCCCTAAGTGATAAGGGTACGACAGGCACGTGCCTTCTTTCTTCAAGTTATTACTCTTTATATTTTATAGCCTCATTACAGGCCAATTATCATGCGTTCCACAAGTCTATCATGCCTGCCCATATTTCAGATAATATGTGATAACTTGAGAGGCCCTGCCCTGTGCAATAGCCTGTACCCTATACGAGGACATACAGAACTGCAAGACAGAATGCCATGAGGTCACGTCCCAGCTTTTCTAGCAAGTGCTATTAACTCATATTACTCAAGGTCTCATCCTCTTACCAAATAGGAGGTAGCTATTATTCACTCCTTTTACAGATAAGCTAATAGAGTTTGCACAGGGTCTTTTCAGACAGACTTGAGAGTGGAACCGCAGTCTCAGATATCGGAGTCCCACAGCTTGTCCATTTTGCCCTTCAGAACAAATGTGTCATGGTGTTTGTTTCAAGGGGTAGCGTCTAACCCAGGGGTCGGCAACCTTTCAGAAGTGATGTGCCGAGTCTTCATTTATTCACTCTAATTTAAGGTTTCATGTGCCAGTAATACATTTTAACATTTTTAGAAGGTCTCTTTCTATAAGGCTATAATATATAACTAAACTATTGTTGTATGTAAAGTAAATAAGGTTTTTAAAATGTTTAATTACCCTTAAGTAATTATATTTTAAAATTTTTTATTAATAAATTAATAAGTTAATAAAAAATTGAATTTAAATGCAGAGTCCCCCGGACCAGTAGCCAGGACCCGGGCAGTGTGAGTGCCACTGAAAATCAGCTTGTGTGCCGCCTTTGGCACGCATGCCATAAGTTTCCTACCCCTGGTCTAACCACTAGCCCACACTGTGGTCTCACAGCAAGGAATCTTGATACCTCACATTCAAGTGCTGCCTTACAAATAGTTTTGTAACCCACTGGCAAAGTGTGTCATGTTTCCCTCTATGGGTTTGTCTGCATGGCAGATGACTCCTGTTCCCCAACTAGTGCGATGGCTCAAGTAAAAGAGGCCTGTGGCGTTATTCTGGAGATAATATTCAAAGTCTACTGGTGGGAAAAATATATATGAGACTGCTTCTTAGGTGACCATGAGAACCCTGGAATAATTGTTGAAATTATGTTACAGTGCAAAGCTCTGTACAGGGAGCTGTATTTGGGTGCTGCTGTATTTTGAGTGCCTGTGGTTAGCACACTTAGCTACAACTTAGGAGACCTGAGTTCAATCCTGGTGTGTGTATATATAAAGTAGCAACCGCTCCATAGTGTCAATGTAGTTATACCAGTATAAAAGTGCTCCTAGGAGTACAGCATACTATGGTTTGGTTAGTGGAATAATCTATACCAGTCTAAGGTGTCTTTATATTGATATAACTGCATCCACACTAGATTTTATACTGGCCATAACTGTATATAGATTTAAAAAATCATACCTCTAACCGACACAGTTATGCTGGTATAACTTTTCTAGCATACACTAGGCTATGTCTTTCTGTGCCTCAGGGTAATAGTATTTCCCTATGTCACAGGGCTGGCGGGAGGATAAATGCATAAAAAGATTGTGAAGTGCTCAGATACAATGGTAATGGAGGCTATATAAATACTAACTTTAAGCAGATATTTTGCTTAATGGGAGCTGTTGCTTTAAGAGCAACCCACAGAAAAAATATTAGCAGATGCTCAGCACCCATTGGTGGCCAGCTCCCACCCCTTCCCCCAATGCCACCTGCCTGCTGGAAGCCCGCTGATCAACTCCTTCCACTCCCTCCCAGTGCCCCCCACCCACAGTGATCAGCTGATCCAGGGCATGCAGGAGGCGCTGGGAGGGAGGGGGAAAAGGGGGGACAGGGTGCTTGGGGGAGGGGCAGGAAGAGGCGGGGCAGGGGTGGGGCCTGGGGGAGGGGTGGAGTGAGGGTGGGGCCAGTGTGGAGCAGCGGCAGGAAGAGGCGGGGTAGGGGGTAGGGGTTGGGGGAAGGGGTGGAGTGGGAGTGGGGCCTAGGGCAGAGAGGGGTCGAGCGCCCCCCGGGTGGAGAGGAAGTTGGCACCTATCACTCCTAGAGGATATTTCCTCCACCTCAGATCAGGATTCAGACATGCTGGCAGAATAGTGTGTGAGGAGAACTTGCTCTGCATCTGCCTTGTATATAAACTGATAATTACATTTATGTCTTTCACCAGAACAAAACCCACACAATTTTTCTGAAGCTGAAGTTCATGATAACATGCAAATATCTCAGTAATTAACATATATACACGTCACACGTGGAGCTGCACAAAACACGGCAGCTATGTGTCATCTCTGTCCCCACAAGCACCATGCACAATTAACAGCCACAAGAATGCTGAAAGGAGCATTTGTCCTAAGCACAAAGAGAACTGAAGAGGTGACACACTCACAAAACTAAAGGAGCGATAGTATAGAAGAGCAGCTGTTTCCTGGTTCAGATGTGTCAGTAGGGTATGAAACCCTGTCCAGACACTAGGCTAATTTTTTCCCCTACTGTTACTCCCACCTTCTTATTAACTGTTGGAAATGGGCCATCCTGATTATCACTACAAAAGTTTTTTTCTCCTGCTGATAATAGCCCATCTTAACTGATTACTCTCGTTAGAATTGGTATGGCAACACCCATTTTTTCATGTCCTCTGGGTATATATATCTTCCTACTGTATTTTCCACTGCATGCATCCGATGAAGTGGGTTTTAGCCCACGAAAGCTTATGCTCAAATTAATTTGTTAGTCTCTAAGGTGCCACAAATACGCCTCGTTCTTTTTATGTGAGACTAGATGGTGTTATTTCTGTCATTGGGATTTTTTAGGGGGTTTAGTGCCATAATTGTCAGGTTAGTTACTATCTGGGGAGGGTTTTGGAGTGGTCAGGTTAAAGAGTAAAACTTCCATGCCCTTACCCGCTTGGGACTCCCCTCCCATCATTCCAGGCAACACTGTACCGCTTTCTAATATGAAACCATTAGCAACAATGGGGCCCAATGTCCTCTTCCAAAGGGATTTGAAGCCCATCTCATCGTCATTGGTGTCTTTCTCTAAGCACTACCTCCCCAACTATACTAGAACCAATATTTTCTCCCTGTTCTAACCACTGGTTATACTCTCAACCTTTACACAGTCGGGAATAGAAGCAGGTGTCCTGACTCCCAGGCCCCGCTTACCACTGGACCATACTACCCTCCCAGAACAAGGAATAGAACCAAGGAGTCTTGACTCCCATGACCCCCCTGCTTTAACCACTAAATAATGTTTCCTTTCTACAAGGGAAAGGGATGGAGCTCAGTAGTACATTTCATAACGCAAGCTGTTTTTTGGTGACATTTATCACTGAATTAGTTTCCTACATTCTCCTTCTCAAGAATCAGGGACCCATGTACTACAAAGAGGAGCATTAGGTAGTGACATCAAGAAAAGTGTGAGCCGCTCCACTCAAAAACACCAGACTGTGTGAGGACGGCGGCAAAATCGACCTCCGTGGCTCCCCGTCGACGGCGCTTACTCCCACCTCCGCTGGTGGAGTAAGAGCGTCGATTCGGGGATCGATTGTCGCGTCCCGACGAGACGCGATAATTCGATCCCCGAGAGATCGATTTCTACCCGCCGATTCAGGCGGGTAGTGTAGACCTAGCCTAAGTCCCAGTTTTGGCACCACTGAAATGCACAAACCCTGTAGGTAGGTGCCTAAACTCACTCAGAGACTGGAGGCTTGTCTACACTACCAAGTTTTGTTGACAAAACTTATGTCGACACCCAAAAGTCAACAAAACAAAAATTGCCAAAGGGTGTTCACACTTGCTCCCTCTGTTGACAGATCATGTCCGCATTGGGGACACCATCATCAACAGGGTGAGCAATGCACCATGGGTATGTATCCCACAGTGCAGTGTTGTGGGAAGGAAGAGCTGATCACTGCGCATCTTGGGATTCTCTCAGATTTCTCCCACAGCCCCTGCCCTCAGCTGCCGAGAGCAGCATCATGAGTAGCTCTGTGAGCTCTCCGTGCTGAGGAATGTCAAAGGGTACGTCTTCACTACCCGCCGGATCGGCGGGTAGTAATTGATCTATTGGGGATCGATTTATTGCGTCTCGTCCAGACGCGATAAATCGATCCCCGAACACGCTCCCTGTCGACTCCAGAACTCCACCGGAGCGAGAGGCGGTAGCGGAGTTGACGCGGGACCGCGGCCATCGATCCCGCGCTGTGAGGACCCCAGGTAAATCGATCTAAGATACTTCAACTTCAGCTACGCTATTCATGTAGCTGAAGTTGCGTATCTTAGATCGATCCCCCCCCCCAGTGTAGACCAGCCCAAAGCAGCACAGCCGTCTCCCACCCCGCAACAGCAGTGTGCCT